ACACCCCTTCCTACCTCTGCCCATCCCCGTCCTTCCCCCCGGCCAGCCTGGAATGCCCCGAGAGCTCCCGGGAACCTCAGGACGACTCCGAAAACACCCGAATAGAACCGGTCACCCTTGGAAACCTCACGACATGTCCGGAAACTCTCGATCACCTACATAAGCCGTCTTGAATTCCTAGACATGTTCCGGAAACCGCCGCCGAGAACATCCCAGCCCCCCAAACCCCTTCCGGAAAACGCCGCCGAAGACAACCGCCGTCGACGCCGCGGTTGTGCGAAGGCCTCCTCCGGGAGGATGCAGGGGAAGGGCGACGATCACGACGACGACGACGACGAACAACGACGACGACCACGACAACGACAACGACGACCACGACAACCACAACGACAACGACCACGACAACGACCACGACAACGACCACGACGACGATGACCACGACCACGACGACGACGGCCGCGATGACCGCCACCACTGAGTTGCACGGGCCCCAAGAAAATCTGTCGTCAAGATGGGGGGACAACGGCAAAGGCGCTCCAATTCAGGCCTCCGATCCCTCCCAGGGTCCATCAGGTGCAGCTTTTCACACCGGATCTCCGCTCTTGGCGACCTCGGGGGCCGGAGGCGGCCCGCGTGGGCCGAACCCCCCCGAAAAACCAAGAGGACCTGGCGAACAAGGAATCTTGATCCTACTCCCCTTGGGCGTCGCTCATTGGGGGGGCGATAAAATGCGGGGGGAGAACGGTGCACTTGTCGGACCCTGAAGGCCCCCTTTTGGACCCTAAAAGGCCCCTTCAGGGGTCCTGAAGGGCCCCTTCTCGGCAACCCCTCCCCATGTATCGCCCTCCCATTGCGCGACGCCCAACTGCCCCCCTCCCCCCCCCCTGGCTCGCCAGAGCCACTGCTGGGCTCGTCAGAGCCCCAGCCGGCTCCAAGCCACGGAGACGACCGCCACGACGACGACCGCCACCACGACGACGGCCACGACCACGAGCAGGCGCGCCGTCAGCAGCGCGTTCAGCACCAGCGCCAGGGCCGCCACGGCCAGGACGGGGGCCGCGGGAGCGGGAGGCGCTACGCGGGGTGGGGCGCCACGCCCTCTTCTGAAGAGGCCCTGGGACACACAAATAAATACACACGAGTAAACGGATTCCCCCTTTTTTCCCGGAAACGGCTTCAGGCCCAGGGTTCTCTTTTAGTAGGTTTACCCCAGGTTTTGACTGGAAGAGGGCCGGCGGATTTCTTTTTGCGATAAACAACGAATGGGAAGAGGGCCGGCGAATTAAAATTTCAGGATGTCCCTAGCGAAACGCTTGTTTTTCAGAATTTGTTGAGGATGTCTCGAGCGGAACGCTTGTTTTGTGTTATAGATTGTCCTCTCCTGGGGACCTGCATTCTGAGGATCTCTCAAGTGGATTGCTTGTTTTAACGTGCTCAGGTCTTGAGGATGTCTCGAGCGAGACGCTTGGTTTCACGCCTCCAGGTGGCCCAGACAGATGTCTAGCATGAGGATTTGTTGAGGATGTCTCGAACCAGAGGCTTGTTTTCACGTGTCCAGGTCGCCCAGGCGGATGTCTAGCATGAGCGTTTGTTGAGGATGTCTCGAGCGAGACGCTTGTTTGCACGTGTCCAGGTTGCCCAGGCGGATGTCTAGCATGAGGATGTGCTGACAACGTCTTGAGCGAAACGCGTGTTTTCACGTGTCCAGGTCGCCCAGGCACAGCACAGCCCTCGGCACGGTACATCGATATCGATACCCTTAGCATTGCAGCCTGGCATGTTGCCTGGCACGTTCTGCGGAGCGTCCCGTGGCGAGTCCCCCTGGCACGTCGCGCGGTGCACGTCCATTGGCACGTTCCGTAGCGCGTCCCCTTGGCACGTCCCGCGGTGCGTGCCCATGGCACGTCCCCTGGCACGTCGCCTGGCGCGTCCCTTGGGACGTTCCGCGGCGCGTCCTCCTGGCATGTTCCCTCTGTCGATTAGTTCTGGGGCAGCTACCATCTGCTCAGGCAGCTCGAGCTTACGATCCAGGTCAGTTCGGTGACGACTCGGATGCCAGGGAGTACTCGATCCACAACGCTATATAGAGCACAATCGCGGCATGGCACATCGCAATTCAGCACGGCCCAGCACAGCACAGCCGTCGGCACGGTACATCAAGATCGATACACTCAACTATGCACCATGGCACGTTCCTTGGCGCGTTCCGTTGCGAGTCCACCTGGCACGTCGCGCGGCGCGTCCCCTGGCACGTCCCTCGGCACGTCCATTGGCACGTTCCGTAGCGCGTCCCCTTGGCACGTCCCGCGGTGCGTGCCCATGGCACGTCCCCTGGCACGTCGCCTGGCGCGTCCCTTGGGACGTTCCGCGGCGCATCCTCCTGGCATGCTCCCTCTGTCGATTAGTTCTGGGGCAGCTACCATCTGCTCAGGCAGCTCGAGCTTACGATCCAGATCAGTTCGGTGACGACTCGGATGCCAGGGGGGACTCGATCCACAACGCTATATAGAGCACAATCGCGGCATGGCACATCGCAGTTCAGCACGGCGTAGCGCACAGCCCTCGGCACAGGACATCATCATCGATACATTAAGCATTGCATTTGCCCGTCGCCCAATCAGGTGTCTTTTGAAATGTTGCAATGCCTTACATTTCTGTATTCCTTTCCGGATTCGTGGGTCGATCATGTTCCTATATTTTCGGAGTTTCTGTCTTCCCCCCACTGCCCATATTTTCCCATATTTTCGGGGGAATCGGCGATCAATTGTGTCTGTGTGTTTTTGTTATTCTCCTGATCTTCAGCTCCCCCGGTGCGGCCAAGAACTCTTGCTTGGCGTGTCGCGGCGGCGGCCCTGACGACGCGCTATGCCCTGCGAGCGGATAGCGTGTCGCTGCGCTCTGCGGGGCGAGCAGTCGGGAACAGATCGGGACGTCGACGCTGGGGGACAGACGTGGAAACATCATGTCGGCGGGTGTCAGGCCCGCCTCGAGTTGATCTTGCGACCCGATCTCGCCCTCTTCGAAACTCCTCCTCTTCCTCCTTCCCTCCTCCTCCTCCTCCTCCTCCTCCTCCTCCTCCTCCTCCTCCTCCCCTTCCTCCTCCTCCTCCTCCTCCTCCTCCTCCTCCTCCTCCTCCTCCTCCTCCTCCTCCTCCTCCTCCTCCTCCTCCTCCTCCTCCTCCTCCCCCTCGCCCTTCGAGGCGTGCCCCGGCAGGAGGGCGGCGCGTCGGGGTCCCCGGGGGAACTGACGTCCGCGACGTCTATGGGGGCTGCGCCGCGGCAGGAAGGGCCTTGCCCCGTGGTCCTGCTTGGGGGGCTCGGACTCGGTCCGCGGGGCTCGGTCCTTCTCTGTCCTCCTCCTCCTCCTCCTCCTCCTCCTCATTTTCCTCCTCCTCCTCCTCATTTTCTCCTCCTCCTCATTTTCCTCCTCCTCCTCCTCCTCCTCCTCCTCCTCCTCCTCCTCCTCCTCGGTCCCACCGCGGGCGCCCCCCGGCTGTGCCCGGCCGGGTGTAAAGGGTGTGGGGCCAGGGTCACTCCGACCTGCTGCGAAGGCGGGGGAGGCTCTAGGGCGCTGGCCACCTGCCTATGAGCTGTGGGGGTGGTGACGGGCCCCGCTGAAGCTCGCACAGTTCTCCCCACGCGGTGGCCGAAAGGGTGCCAGGGTCCCCGTCCTCAGAGAAGCGGGAAGCTTGGGGCGGCATCCAGATGTGGTGTCGTGAGCTGTGTGTGGATCGGAGGCGGGTGAGTGGGCCATGTGAGTAGGCGGCGGCGTTTGTAGGTTTGCTTCTGTGGCGGGCTGGGACCCCCGATGGAAGGCACAGGCTGCAGCTGCCTCTCTGCTGTTCCCATCCTGCTTCTTGGCACTGTTTTGCAGAGGCCGCCTCGCATGGCGCTGAAATTGTTTGGCGCGTCTGGAGTGCCCTGAGCGTTTTGTGGCACGTATGTAGTGTTGCTTTCCGATTTGGCAGAGCGAGCAGCGATGAGAGTTGCTGACCGTGGGAATGGCCACGTGTGGCATCGCAGAAGAGTCCAGCAAAGTCCTCCTCCTCCTCCTCCTCCTCCTCCTCCTCCTCCCGTCTCTCTCTCTCTCTCTCTCTCTTTCTCTCCTTCGAAGTCGGCACCGCATTCCAAAAGCAACCGGGCGGAATCACCAATCGACGTCCAAAAGCAACCGAATGCATCCGGCGACGCGCACGTCGACTGGCGAAACCGCCCGGGGACTGCACAGGCACACTCGTATGCCAATGTCGAGCAAGCCTGTGCTGAATTACTCTCAGTCGACTTGTTTGGGTGGGCGCTCTCTCGATACCCCACTGTTCCCTCCATCCGTCCGCCCACCTCACTGGACGAAGAAAAAACGCCATAAACATAAACTTGTGGCGCTCCGCGCGCATGTCTTAGATCTGTGCCGAACCCCCCTCCCCGGCGCGCAGAGCGCGCCAGGGGCGGCGTCGGAGGCGCCGCTGGGGGGGCCCAGAGCGGCTCGAAGAGAGCCGCGCGGAGCGCCAACAATTTCTGTTCATGGCGTGTTCCTTCTTCGCCCCCCCCGCCTCCCCGACCAGCCTCCCGTAACGCTCCTCAGAGACCCGAATCATCAGGGGTAACTCGGGTCAGGGCTAACTCGGGTTCGTTTTTCGGGAATCCGAACCCGAGTTGGCCAGGGCCCGAGTTACCCCGGATAACTCGGGCGTCCAGAGCTCCAAATCATCAGGGATAATTCGGGTCAGGGCTAACTCGGGTTCGTATTTCGGGAATCCAAACCCGAGTTACCCCGGGCCCGAATTACCCCGGATAACTCGGGCGCCCAAATTCCCCGCTGGCGCCCCCCCCTCCCGCGATGGAGGTCTGCCAGGTGAGCGACCCGCCGCGCGCCAGCAGCAGCGCGGCCAGCCACGAACCGCCGCCCACCTGCGGAGGCCGGAGGAGGAGGAGGAGGAGGAGGAGGAGGAGGAGGAGGAGGAGGAGGAGGAGGAGGAGGAGGAGGAGGAGGAGGAGGAGGAGGAGGCTGCGCACCGGCGCTGGCCCAAGGCTGGCCCCGCTTCGGACGAGGCCAGCCTCGGGGCAAGATCGACCAGGAGAGGTGCGAGGAGATCCCACGATAACCCCAGAGTCACAACTTCGTCACGACGGGCGATGTTGCCCCTGGCCATCGCTCGGACTTTCATTTCCTGTGTTTTTTTTTGTCGGTTTCGTGCGTGTTTTTTTTCGCCAAATGATCAAGGATCCTCGATGGCCTTCGCCGAAGGACAAATGTACACGTCCGAGCGATGCCAGGTGCCCTGCCTCGGGCCCCAGGACCAGCACGTGCCGATCCGCCCTGCAAGGTGCCGAAGAAAAAAAGGGTTGGGATGGGTTGGTGGGGCCTTCAAGGCGGGAGAAACAAAAACCGAGGGGGGCCGCGGAAGGGCCGCTCCTCCCGAGGAGGCCGCGTTGGGCCCCCTCCCAGACAAGCGCAGCACAGACAGAAGGCGAAGCCTCTGGCAAATACTACACAAGACAACCATCAAGTGCAGCGCTGACAAGAGCATATACTACACAAGATCACACCTAGTGCAGCACTGAAAGGAACAGATACTACCCAATATCCCATTCGTTTCGCAACACCAGAATCATGCAAGCACTGCGCAAAATAACAGAGCCTATACACGATCAGGGGAAGGAGGAATATCGCTCCGAGCACTCGCAAGGGCGCCTGGGCACGCTCTCCAAGTGCTTCGCCTGTGCCGCCTCCAGCAGCCGAAGGCCCTCGGCGATGTCGCCGCGCTGGAGGGCATCCCTCGCCAGCATGTTGGCGCCGAGCGCCTCGACCTCCGCCTGGGCCTGCACTGCGCCCACGGTCGACTCCACCACTCCCTGCGAGGCCTTCGCGCCGTGCGCCGCCAGGTCGGCCTCCACGGACTTCGCGCCCTCCTGGGACTCGACCTCGGGCTCCTCGACGAAAGGCAGGCCCTCGGAGGGATCGCCTAAACCCGCACCTCCGAGGCGGACGCCGAGGACGCGGGCCTCGGCCAAGTCCAGGAGTGACTCAACTCCCGACTTCGGCCCCTTGGCCGCACACGCCACCGCCGCCACCGAGAAGCCGTCCAGGAACGACACGAACACGCCCTCCGAGCTCGAGAGGCCATCGCCCTCCGACGCGGAGGGTGCAGGAGGAGCCTGCGTGCCCCCGCTCAAGAGGGCCGCATCATTCCGAGCCAAGTATTGCACAATCTGGGTGTCGAGGCGAGCGCTGTCCGAGCAGATCGTGCTGCACGCCGAGCTGTTGGACGCGTCCACCTGCTGCACGCCCCCAAGCGGCGACCGCATGGAGCCCACGGAGGCGGGGGCATCGCTGGCGCTGCGATCCGCACGCTCGCCAGGCACCTCACCGCCGCCCAGACCCTGGGCAGGCGCGTCCGCAGCCTCCGGGGGCGGAGGCGGCCCAGGGGCCGCGGGGCCGACGCCGACGCTGCCCTCCAGCTCGCCAGGGCCAGGAGCGCCATCGTCGTCGGAGTCGGTCACGTCTTTCTCAGAGAACCGCACAATCTTCACCACGTCCAGGGACTTGGGGCGACGCCTGCGGCGCCTGGCGCCGCGCCTCACCATGGGGCTCGCGGCGCCAGGGGGCGTCCGCAGCAGCATCGCCGCCGCCTGCCGCGGGGGCGGCCCACTCCTCGCCCGACTCACGGCAGCACGAGCCCAAGGCCCTGGGCCCACGCCGCTCCCTCCTGATGAGCCACCGCCAGACTTGTCCATCTCGCTGTAGACCTCCTCGAACACGGTGGCCGCCGAGGATGGGCCTGCCGCGCAGCGGCGGAGGCTAGGCTGCCATGGCCCTGCCGCCGCCGCACGCCTAGCACGCACAGCGCGCCCGCCCCGCTGGGCGCAGGTAGGCCGGTCCAGCGCCGACGCCAGCGCAGCGGCCCCATCGCCCAGCAAGGCGTGCGCGCCAAGGTTCCGCGCCGCACGGACGGCTCCTCCTGCCTGCTGGCCGCGGATGGCCTGCAGCAGAGCGGGGGCCATCGCCGCGAAGCGGAGGGCGAGCTCCTCGATGTTCGCCGAAGGGGCCTCGACGGCCATCACCAGCGGCGCCAGCGATTCCACGGCCGTGCGGACGGCGGCCGCCACCGCAGCCGCCGCTACATGCCGCGTTGAGCCCGCCGCGCCCGCAGCCGCCCCGCGCGCTGCCAGCTCGACGGCGCCAGCCAGCGCGCCCCAGGCCGCGGGATGCGCATCCACATCGCTGACAACGCCCGTCATCAGCGGAAGACCGTGGCCACTCAAGAGTGCGGGAAAGGGCGCCGCCCCGCGCGGCTCTGAGCCAAAATGGCTACGGAGAAGAAAGAAGGGGGTCTGGGGCTCTGGTCGTGTTCCGCTCAAGCCTCCTGCGTTGGGCTCCCGTTCTGACTAGAGCGCTGCGGTCTCCACCTCCTCCCGCCCCCTCTCTCCCGTTCTCTCCTGCCTGTCACCCTGCTCCTCCTGCGTGCCAGCGTGCCTCCTGCCTGGCCATCCCTGGGGGCTGCGATCCGCGAGGGTGTCGCCAGTTTCGAGGGTTGCTGGGGGGTCCAGCGGAGTGGTGTCCCACGCGGACTCAAATTAGACCCCGCCATGACAGTTTCGGCTGCTGGGGGTCCAGCGGAGTGGTGTCCGACGCGGACTCAAATTCGACCTCGCCATCCCTGGGGGGCTGCGATCCGCGAAACTGTCGCCACTTTCGAGGGCTGTTGGGGGTTCCAGCGGACTGGGGTCCCACGCGGATTCAAATTAGACTTCGCCATCCCTGGGGGGCTGCGATCTGCGACAATATCGCCACTTTCGAGGGCTGCTGGGGGGTCCAGCGGAGTGACGTCCCACGCGGATTCAAAGTAAACCTCGCCATGCGACCCACCTGCGACCCAACCCGCGACCCACCCGCGACCCACCCCGCGACTCACCCGCGACCCACCCGCGACCCACCCCGCGACCCACCCGCGACCCACCCGCGACCCGACCGCGACCCATCTGCGACCGATCCACATTGGTTTGAAGAAAAAATCGGCGCCTGCGGCGGGCTCGTTGTAGAATTTGTCAAACTTTGGCGCCTGCGGCGGGCTTCTCCAGTCTCGCAGACTGCCGACGTCCCCACCGCCCCCTCACTCTTATCCGCATCTGCGGGGTGCTACGTACTTATACGATATGTGCGTCGCCCCCCCCCCCCCCGGGGCGACGCGCGCACCGAGAACTCGTATAGTATACGCGTCGTGGCGGGCGCTTTCTAGCCACACCGCTCGGGAAACGATCTACGACAGGATGGGTATACTGTATGTTCGGGTCGGAGGCGCGCGCCTCCGAGGCGGACACATACTACTGGTATGTCTCTGCGCGTCCCAGTGCTGTCCGTACCTTGGGCGCCCGAGTTATCCGGGGTAACTCGGGTCCGGGGTAACTCGGGATTGGATTTCCGAACAAGGAACCCGAATTAGCCCTGACCCGAATTATCCCTGATGATTCGGGGCTCTGGACGCCCGAGTTATCCGGGGTAACTCGGGTCCGGGGTAACTCGGGTTTGGATTCCCGAAAAACGAACCCGAGTTATCCCTGACCCGAGTTACCCCTGATGATTCGGGGCTCTGAGTACCCATGTGCCCACGTCGATCGTCCTGCGCCCCCCTCGGGCCACCAGCAGCCAGCCGCCGTCCGGCCACCAGCCCATGGCGCCGCGGCGGGCGGGGCGCGGCGGGCCTGGCGGCGGCGGCCTGGGCAGGCTGCGGCGCCCGCTCTCCCGGCGCGAAGCCGCGCGAAGCCGGCCCGTGGCTGGCTGCCCAAGCAGCCGACCCAGACCCGCGAGGCAGATCACCCTGCTATCCTGGCGCGGCAATTCTTTCACAGCGGGCGTCTTCGCTTCTTTCTCCAGGCCCCCGGACCCTCACAGATCGTGCCACCTCAAAAAAGGGAACAGGAAGCTGTGGTCTGGGGCTCCAAAGGTGACTTCACGAGGTCGCATTTGGGTCGGCCGCGTCAGGTCTGAAAACAGTCCATACGTTTCCCTTTGATTTCGGCCGTGCCGAAGAGCTGCCTCGGGGAAGGGGTCGGGAGCCCTGGGGCCGCGGAGGGAAGAAACCAGATCGGCGGGTGTCTGGGGAGGGCCGAGGTGAGCCCTCCCGCTTCTCCCAATGCCGCCGATCCTGCTCGCTCCCCACCCCCTCCTGCTCTTGCCCCTCGACCCCTCCTCCTCCTCCTCCTCCTCCTCCTCCTCCTCATGCTCCTCCTCATGCTCCTCCTCCTTCTCCTCCTTCTCCTCATTCTCCTTCTACTCCCCTTCCCCCTCATCCCCCTCCTCCTCCCTCTCCTCCTCCTCCTCCTCCTCCTCCTCCTCCTCCTCCTCCTCCTCCTCCATTCCTTCTCCTTATTGATGACTCCTCCCTGTCGCACCCCGAGGCCAGTTTCTAGGGCGGGCTGGGCGTTTGGCCTGAAACTTTCACACCACTTATGACTCTGAAGCTTAAACAGTGACAACAGTTTCACAGATGGAGGGCGGGTGGTTTTCAACATGTGGCTCTCGCCTAAGCGCCGCGCACATTTGTTTTAAACATTAGCAAGAGCTTCATGTATTGAGGGCGAGTCGTTTTCAAAATGTGGCTCTCGCCTACGCGCCGCGTACATTCGTTTCAAACATTTGCAAGAATTTCACGGATTGAGGGCGGGTGGTTTTCAACATGTTGCTCTCGGCTTAGCGCCGCGCGCATTTGTTTTAAAAATTTGCAAGAATTTCACGGATTGAGGGCGGGTGGATTTCAAAATGTGGCTCTCGCCTTAGCGCCGCGCACATTCGTTTTCAAAATGTGCAAGAGCTTCACGGATTGAGGGCGGTTCCTTTTCAACGTGTGGATCTCGCCTCAGCGCCGCGCACATTCGTCGTAAACATTTGCAACAGCTTCACGGATTCCCATGGTCATCGTACCAGAAATTGTGTTTTGGAAGGATTCGGGATTATGCGGGCGCAGCAGTTCGCTGTGCTGAAATTCCCAAAATGGCGTTCTGGCTCGATTCTGGATCGTCAAGACGCAGCAGTCAGATTGATACGTGGCGTTGTAGTCCCGAGAACAATGTTTTGGCACGCTTCAGGATCTTCAAAGAGTTGCCTTCCAACGAGGCAGTTCCCTCAATGGAAATGATCTGCTGTAAGGGGCCCATGAAGAGGGAGCTCGGAGGGAGGGTTAATTCCAGCGTCGTTGATGACTCTTGACTTTCCACTGGTCCTCCTCCTCCTCCCCCTCCCCCTCCTCCTCCTCCCCCTCCTCCTCCTCCTCCTCCTCCTCCTCCTCCTCCTCCTCCTCCTCCTCCTCCTCCCCTTCCCCCTCCTCCTCCTCCTCCTCCGCCTCCTTCTCTTCCTCCTCCCCTTCCTCCTCCTCCTCCTCCTCGTCCCTTCGCCTCCTCCTCCTCCTCGTCCCTTCCCCTCCTCCTCCTCCTCCTTCTCCTCCTCGTCCTCGTCCTCCACCTCCTCCACCCCGTCCCTTTCCCTCCTCCTGCTCCTCCGCTTGCTCGCCCTGCTCCGCCCCCCCCCCCCGTGCTCCTCCTCTCTGGGTGCTCCCGCTGCTGCCCCTCGAGCGGCGGGAGCGGAATCACGGGCATGACGAGACATGTGCTGGAACGCTCTGGCAAACGCGACGTGCGGGGAGGAGGGGGGAACCGCGACGGCAGAGGCACACCACCGATCCGAGCGCTCGCCATCTGAGGAGGGAGAACGCCCCCCTGCCCCTGCACCCCCGCCAGAGGCCGGGGGAGGGGGATGAGGGCCACCGGGGCAGGAGGAGGCGGAGGAGGCACGCGGGCAGAGACCGGGAGGAGGGTCGGGAGTAGGGCGGCGGAGAGGAGGTGGTGGGAGGGGAGGATGCTGAGGTTGAGGCCGAGAGGAAGAAGGGAAGAACGGATCCTCCTTTGCCCACCTTCTTCTCCTCACGGAGGTGGCCCCGCTCCTGCAAGTGTGCGCCCGCTCCAGCCTCCCGCCCTCCGCCGCCGCGCCCCGCACAACCGTGCCCTGCACACTGTACCTGCCCGCGCTCGTGCTCACAGCTCACGCTCATAGCTCGTACTCGCGGGCACGATCTCGCTCTCCCTGCTCCTCTTCCGCCTGCTCCTCGTGAACCCCCTCCTCTCTCCCCATCCCCCTCCTCCCCCTCACCTCAACTTCCCAGTCATCCTGCTCCTTTCTCTCCGCATCCTCGTGACCCTCCTCCTCCTCCTCCCCCTCCTCCCCATCTGACATACTACGTCCCGTCTTACCCTTCTCCTTAGCCGTCCCCTCCCTCTTCTCCCTCTTCTCATGTTCGGTATCCCTACCTCCCTGCTTCCCAATATATCATCTCCCCATCAACATCTCCTCTCCCTCCTCCCTGGTAAGGTGGGGTACTGGTTTGAGCGCCCAGGCTTCCACTGGCAGCGGCGGAGCAAGCAATGCGTTGGTAAGCTCTCTGAGGAGGAAACATCAGATGATGAGAAGTAACCTGAAAATGAGCTGTTCCACAAATCACCATAAGGGGGCTACTACCAAATTAGATGCCGACGGCAACTGCTGAATGAAACCGCTCTTTTATATGAGCCGACATCCAGAAACAAAAAAACGCTGCAGTGCGATCGCCCCGCTATGGCTACGGCCGACATGAAAGTGAACGAACGCTTCGAGCGTCAGCACTTCACACCAGAACATCCGAACAAAAAAACATCACGACAAGCGAGGAAAGCAACCTCTAAGAGGTTTGCGTACGAAACGTCGAGAATGAGCGCTCAGCACCACGAGCCGTCAAGGCGCAAACACAACAAGCAATAACGTAATACTTACACAGCGCTAATCCTAGCGTATGTTCTCGATCTCTAGCCTTGGGGGCCTTGAAATGTGCACCAACACCAGCATGGAGGGGTGCCTCCATTTCAGTGCTGGTGGTAATCACTCGAGCATCTAAGAAGCCCTTATATCACCACCATCACGGAGATCAGGATCGACTTTCCTCGGTGGAAACAGCAGCCGCAGGCCTCCGACAGCCGCACCGTCTCTGGGACCCGCCTCTTCAGGAGAGCGCGATGCTCTGCGGCAGCAGGGAGATGCGCTTCACCAGCGGGCGGTTCTGCCCCTGCAACAGCCGCGTCGTGCCGGCCGGGGACAGCAGCGGCCCGTCGGGGCTGCCGGGGACCAGGAGGGCCGGCATGCTAGCAACTCTCTTGCAGTTGTGGCTGCGCGGCCGGTCGTCGAGCGGGCTGGTCGGCGGGGTGGCCGCGAGCAGGCGCGCGCCGTGGAGGTCCGCCGGGGAGGCGCCGAACTCGCTGCTCAGCACCTGCGCGCTCGGCCGCTGCCGCGTGGGCGCGTGCGCGGACGGCGAGGACTGGTAGTAGAGCTGGGCCTGGGGGGCGAACTGGTCGACGATGTCGGGCAGCCGGCTCTCCACGGACTGCATCCTCTGCATGGGGCGCCCCGTCGGGGTGGGGGTCGTGTAAGGTCTGCTGTCCAGGTCCTTGCCGCTCGCCGAGGCCCTCGGCGCCTTGCTCTTGGCAGGGGCGCCCGACTCCAGCGTCCACAGGCAGAGGGTGCCGTCGCGCAGCCCCACGGCGATCGCGTCGGTCGTGTGGCAGAAGGCCGCGGCGCAGGGGTTGTCAACGCACTGGGCGGCGGTGAAGCGCTGGTGGACGTGCAGCTGCATGCTCGTCCGCACGCAGACCACGCGCCACAGGGTGAGCTCGGAGGAGATCGAGAGGACCCAGCGGCAGGATGCAGAGAACACGCACTGGCGCACGCCCGCGTCAGTGGCCTCGGAGTCGAAGACGTGCTGCTCCATGGTGAAGTTGCCACCGAAGGAGTCCCACAGGCGCAGCGTCTTGTCCGTCGAGCACGATATGACCCTGCAGGCGGTGCCACTCTCGAGGGGAGAGGGGTCCAGACAGGTGATGCAACCGGTGTGGGCGCTCACCGTCTTGTGCAGGCCCAGGGAAGATGCGCTCCAGATCTGCATCTGCCCGCTGCTGAAGGCGCACACGATCCAGACGCCGTCCGACGTGAACACGGAGCTCGTGGGGTGGGCGTCCTCGACCCCGCCCTGGAGCAGCGAGCACGTGTGGCTGGGCATGTCCTCGCGCCACCCCGCGGCGTAGTCCAGGACCCGCAGGTGGCCCGTCCCCAGGATCGCCAGGTAGTTGTCCTGCCCGGCCAGCCCCTTCTGGTGGTTGACCTCCCGGGTGGGCGAGAACGCCGCCGACGCCCACCGGAAGGCCCTGGCGCTAATCCGTGCGCTGCCGCGGGTGCCGCCTCCCCCGCCTGCTGCGGCAGCTCGTAGGAGCCTCCCGTGCCACCTCGTGTTGGCTCCTGCGCATCGACGCTCAGTCGACGCCAATCGACGCCAGACCGGCGCCATCCGACGCTCCTCTGCGCCACATCGGCGCGACCTCATCGATGGCCAGGCGCTGATTGGTCGACGCCAGTGCACTCTAGAGACGGAGTTACGAGGGTACGGCAGGTTCGTGTCGTGACGACCCTGGCGTTGGTTTCTGACACCGCGTCGATCGTTCAACCTTGAACGGTCGGCGGCTTTTCGATCGCCCGATCGTTCCACGTGGGCCGATTCTGGGCCACTGGCGGCGTTCAAGCTTGAACGCCCGCGGCGGGGTCGCCGCCGGTCGACACGACGCGAACCTACCGTACACCCAGACCCCCGACGTCATGATTTTTTCATGACGCGACCCCCACAGGTCTGGACCCATTCCCCGGGACCGGTTTTTCATCCTGAGTCGTTTTTTGACGGTCCCGAGGCCCGGTGAGAGCCCCCAGAGGCCGAAAATGGCGAAAAACCTTCCGTCGTGATTTTTTCATGACCCGAGGGGGTCTGGGCACGAGGCTCCTACGATCTGCCACCGAGCCAGCCTGCTGCCCACCCTGGCCCGGTGGCGTCCGTGCCCGACGAGCTGGCGGACGCGCAGGAGGCCCTGCCCGAGGGCGGCACGGGCTCCGAGCCGGCGGCGCCCTCGCCTGCAGGGATGCCCGTGCCCGCCGCGGCCGCGGGCAGAGACAGCACCAGCGTGTGGGGGGAGTGCCCCTTGTACACCTCTCAGGGGCGGAGGAGGAGGAGGAGGAGGAGGAGGAGGAGGAGGAGGGGAGGAGAAGGGGGAGGAGGAGGAGGAGGAGGAGGAGGAGGAGGAGGAGGAGGAGGAGGAGGAGGGGGAGGGAGGGGGAGGAGGAGGAGGAGGAGGAGGAGGAGGAGGAGGAGGGAGGAGGAGGAGGAGGGAGGAGGGGGAGGAGGAAGAGGAGGAGCTGGGTACAGGGGACTCGGAAATCCCCGACGAGGTCGTCAAAAAAAATGACGAGGTCGAGCCTGCATTTTGACGAGGCCTCCCGCTGCAGGCATCCCACGAAACTCCTCCTCGTCAAAATCCGAGGCGCGGTCGTCAAGAAACGATGGCGAACCCGAGTCCTGGCAAACCCAGGTCTTACGCTCCCCCGAACCTGGACCACCGACGGGTAAACACAGACGACCCATCGCTGGGAGAGCGAGACCGCCACGGTGCAGAGCGCCTCGCCCGGGCACTTCTGAAAGCGTGCCAGCCTGCTCCAGTTCTTCGTGTCCCACATCTTGATATCAGCCCCGTGGTTACCTGAGACGAGAGCACTACCATCTGGAGTGAACCTCAAAGCTACGACGGGCTGCGATGAACACTCCAACCTGCGATTGTACTGGTAGTGGAAGTCGTGCTCTTCGTCAACTGTGCCATCTTGCTCGGCTGGATACAAATGGCCCGACGAGCTGCTGGATAAAGCCCCTTGCAATCTGGTCTCCTTCTGGATGTTTTTGCCGGCGTGCGAGGTGCGCTGTGGGACCGAGAGGCGCTTCTGCTCGAGCATGGCCATGCCCGATGGAGACCTCGAAAGGCTCGACACGTCCACGCTCACCCGACCTGTCCCCAGCGCGCTCTCCCTGCTGACCAAGGGGCGAACCGCCTCCGGCCTCGTGGCGGCGCCCACGCGTGCGGGAACCCCGCCGGAGAAGCCCGGCAGCAGCCCTCCGGGCGAGGAGGCCCGGCGCTGCATGTCATCGAATCGCTGGATGGCAGGGCCTCGGTGTTCGCGCCCGGGTGGCCGGCGCCATCCAGGCGGCCGCGGGCGCGAGGGTTGGCCCTCCCGCTTCGCGGGGCGCGGCCCTGGGCTTGGGCCCAAAATTCCATGCGGACGCCGGAAGCGCACACCGCACCCGCGGATCCTGACCCCAAGAAGCCTCCAGGCGACCCCGCCAGGCGCCCACGAGAGACCTCCGAGAGGGCCCCGAAGGCCTCCAAGAGGGTCCCGACAGAGCCCCAAGAGGGCCCCAAGAGGGCCACAAGAGGGCCCCATGAGAGCACCAGAGGCTTTCAACATGTCCCCAGGAGTGCCCCACGATGGCAGTAGCGTCGCCACGGCATGATTCATTGGCGTGCGGGTCTTTCCCTCGAAGGGGGACAGCCCTCGGCAACGGGCTTACTGTGCTGGGCTCGAGGATCCACATGACCCATGGCGAGGCACACAAGCAGCGAGCGGCAATTCTGTGTTACAGGCGTTGTGCGTGTGTGCATTTTGTATGTAAGTACGCACCTACACGTATACATGCATATCTAGACACATGTCCGTATACATCAAGTTAATGTTTTCCATTCTACACCCATACATTGCGTCTCTACCAACACGTGTCGTGCAATCGTTGATCAATATATGTGGTGCAATATGTGTCGGGCAGTATACGTTGTGCAGTCTACGTTGTGCAACCTATGTTCAGTAACGGTGGTGCGACCTATGAGGTACAAATTCTGTTGTGTCGCACATGTATGTACATATATATATATATATATATATATATGTGTGTACACACATGAACTTATACGGAGCAATTTATGTGGTGCAATATATGTGGCGCGATCAATGTTGTCCAATATCTGGTGTGCAATATATGTTCTGCCCTCTATTCTGTGCGGGGTATGCCGCGCAATTAATTTTGAAAGACTTGGGATTCTAAACTCCATTGGGCGCGCAATCATCCCACCCACCCGCCTGCAAATTGGTCAGCAAAACCCATGTGGTGGCGATCGGGATGGGCGCTTGGTGATGCTTTGTGCATCCGTGCAGCTGCTAGCCTGCGCATGGCGCGACTGCAGTGGCGCCGACCGCTGGACACTTCCCAGCGCGTCTCGCAAACCGCGCTGACGCGCGGGACCTTCAGTGCGAGTCGATGACTTGGGCGGGCGCGGCATCATGGCGACGTCGACAACGGCAGACACGATGATGCTAGTAGCGTTGATGGTGACGACGACAATGATGACGATGGCAAGGCCGACGACGGTGCCGATGCTGAACACACCGATAACGATGATGGTGTCCTCGCAGCGGTGATGACAATTTAAAAAGAATTTCGGCATGCGCGCTCGGCTGACGCGCGCGACGCCCGCACAGTGTCATTTGACAGGGGTCATCCCCCCCAGCACGCGCGCAAGGGCGCTCCAAAAATTTCGACATGCGCGCGCGAGAGGCCCGTTTGGCCGAATTTGATCAGATGTAGAAAGACCTTTGGTTTTCTGAAGAATTCGCAAGGGCGCGCGTGCATATTCTTCTTCTTCTGAAAACTGATATTGCCGAACCGTGTGTGTTGCTGCATACGTTTTTAGAACACTCAATTTTGAAATCGTCACGAAAGAAACGGATTTGGGAACAATTGTCGGATGCGCGCGCGACGACGCCCGCGCGTGCACGTCGTCTTAAAAATGCAAGGGATTCAGATGATTTGTGATCGACGAGTGCGCGCGCATCGTTTTTCCCCGGAAAGGGCCTGGGCCCAGGGTTCTCTTTTAGATGGTTTACCCCACGGTTTTTACTTGAAGGGAGCCGGCGAATTTCTTGTGCGATAAATTACGAAGTCGAATGGGGGCCAGCGAATTAAAATCATGAGGACGAAGGCCATTTTTCGCCACCCCTCACGCAGATCGTACTCTTGGAATTTTACTGCCTTTAAGGAAACCTCGATATTTCACAGGTGAAGTCCACTTTTTTTCCGACATCGACTTTAAACGATAAAAAACTAAGTAAACGCGTTCGCTCGATAAATAACGAGGTACCGCGGCCTCCAGAACGGCGCTGGGAACGGAGTTTTGGATTCTTGAAGTTGCATAAGCTCGGAAATGGCAGAAATCTCATGTGTTTTTTGACCCTGACCCAGCGGATCTGCTTAAGGGGTGGCGCCGAATTTCAAAGAAATGCAAGAAATCCCCTGTGTTTTTGGACCCTGACCCCGCGGATCTGCGTGAGGGGTGGCACCGAATTTCAGAAATGTGGTAAATCCCATGTGTTTTTGGACCCTGACCCTGCGGATCTGCGTGAGGGGTGGCACCGAATTCCAGAAATGTGGCAAATCCCATGCGCTTTTGGATCCTGACCCCGCGGATCTGCGTGAGGGGTGGCACCGACTTTCGGAAATGTGGCAAATCCCCTGTGTTTTTGGACCCTGACCCCGCGGATCTGTGTGAGGGGTGGCACCGAATTCCAGAAATGTGGCGAATCCCCTGTGTTTTTGGACCCTGACCCCGCGGATCTGCGTGAACGGTGGCACCGAATTTTATAAATGTGGCAAATCCCATGTGTTTTTGGACCCTGACCCCGCGGATCTGCGTGCGGGGTGGCACCGAATTCCAGAAATGTGGCAAATCCCCTGTGTTTTTGGACACTGACCCCGCGGATCTGCGTGAGGGGTGGCACCGAATGTCAGAAATGTGGCAAATCCTCTGTTTCTAGACCCTGACCCCGCGGATCTGCGTGAGGGGTGGCACCGAATTACAGAAATGTGGCAAATCCCATGTGTTTTTGGACCCTGACCCCGCCGAGGGCAGCTACTATGTGTTCAGGCAGCTCGAGCTTAAGATTCAGATCAGGACTCGGATGCAAAGGAGGACTCGATCCACGAGGCTATAGAGCACAATCGCGGCATGGCACATCGCAAGTCAGCACGGCGCAGCACAGCACAGACTTCGGCACAATACATCAAGATCGATAGACTCAACATTGCAACTTGGCACGTTCCTTGGCACGTTCCGTGGGGCGTCCCTTGGCGAGTCCCCCTGGCACGTCGCGTGGCGCGTCCCCTGGCACATCCCGTGGCACATCCATTGGCACGTTCCGTAGCGCGTCCCCTTGGCACGTCCCGCGGTGCGTGCCCATGGCACGTCCCCTGGCACGTCGCTTGGCGCGTCCCTTGGGACGTTCCGCGACGCGTCCTCCTGGCATGCCCCCTGTCGATTAGTTCTGGGGCAGCTACTATGTGTTCAGGCAGCTCGAGCTTAAGATCCAGATCAGTTCGGTCAGGACTCGGATGCAAAGAGGACTCGATCCACAACGCTATCTAGAGCACAATCGCGGCATGGCACATCGCAGTTCAGCACGGCGCAGCACAGCACAGATTTCGGCATGGTACATCAAGATCGATACACTCAGCATTGCAATTTGGCACGTTCCGTGGGGCGTCCCTTGGCGAGTCCCCCTGGCACGTCGCGTGGCGCGTCCCCTGGCACGTCCCGCGGCACGTCCATTGGCACGTTCCGTAGCGCGTCCGCTTGGCACGTCCCGCGGTGCGTGCCCATGGCACGTCCCCTGGCACGTCGCTTGGCGTGTCCTTTGGGATGTTCCGCGGCGCGTCCTCCTGGCATGTCCCCCTGTCGATTAGTTCTGGGGCAGCTACTATGTGTTCAGGCAGCTCGAGCTTAAGATCCAGATCAGTTCGGTCAGGACTCGGATGCAAAGAGGACTCGATCCACAACGCTATCTAGAGCACAATCGCGGCATGGCACATCGCAGTTCAGCACGGCGCAGCACAGCACAGATTTCGGCATGGTACATCAAGATCGATACACTCAGCATTGCAACTTGGCACGTTTCCTGGGGCGTCCCTTGGCGAGTCCCCCTGGCACGTCGCGTGGCGCGCCCCCTGGCACGTCCCGCGGCACGTCCATTGGCACGTTCCGTAGCGCGTCCGCTTGGCACGTCACGCGGTGCGTGCCCATGGCACGTCTCCTGGCACGTCGCTTGGCGCGTCCCTTGGGACGTTCCGCGGCGCGTCCTCCTGGCATGTCCCCTCTGTCGATTGGTTCTGGGGCAGCTACCATCTGCTCAGTCAGCTCGAGCTTAAGATCCAGATCAATTCGGTCAGGACTCGGATGTTAAGGAAGACTCGATCCACGACGCTATGTAGAGCACAATCGCGGTATGGAACATCGCAGTTCAGCACGGTGCAGCACAGCACAGCCCCTGGCACAGTACATTAAGATCGATACATTCTGCATTGCATTTGCCCGTCGCCCAATCAAGTGTCTTTGAACAGTTGCCATGCCTTACATTTCTATATTCCTTTCCGGGTTCGTGGGTCGATCATGTTTCCCGGAAAGGGCGCAGGCCCAGGGTTCTCTTTTAGCTGTTTACCCCCGGACCTGACTTGAGGTGGGCCGGCGGAATTATTCCCTGATAAATATCGAGGTCGAGGTGGGCCGGCGGAATTATTTTTGAGGATGTCCCTAGCGAAACGCTTGTTTTTCAGATTTTGTTGAGGATGTCTCGAGCGAAACGCTGGTTTTGCAAAATTGGGGGTGTCTCGAGCGAGACGCTTGTTTTCAGAACTTGTCGAGGATGTCTCGAGCGAAACGCTGGTTTTGCACAGTCGACCGCGACGCGGAAGCGCCCCGCGCGCAGGAATTCCGAGGATGTCTCGCGCGCCCGCGCGCAGGAATTTCGAGGATGTCCCGACTAATTCGTTTGTTGTTTTAGGATTTCCTTCAATTTTGGCAGGATGCCTCGAGCGAAATGCACGACCCCACCCTAGCACGACCACACCCCAGCACGACCACATCCCAGCACGACCACACACCAGCACGACCACACACCAGCACGACACCACCCCAGCACGACCACACCCCAGCACGACCACACCCCAGCACGACCCCACCCCAGCACGACCCCACCCCAGCAAGACCACACCCCAGCACGACCACACCCCAGCACGACCTCACCACAGCACGACCACGCCCCAGCACGACCACGCCCCAGCACGACCACGCCCCAGCACGACCACGCCACGCACCACCCCCCAGCACGACCACCCCCCAGCACGACCACCCCCCAGCACGACCACCCCCCAGCACGACCACCCCCCAGCACGACCACTCCCCAGCACGACCACTCCCCAGCACGACCACACCCCAGCACGACCACACCCCAGCACGACCACACCCAGTCGCACCTCCGTGGAATGTTTCGTGGGGTGTCTGGTTGAGTGGTTGCCTGTTCGTGGGGCGTCTCGTGGAATGTTTCTCGTGGAATGTTTCGTGAGGTGTCTCGTGGACTGTTTCGTGAGGTGTCTCGTGGGATGTTTCGCGGGGTGTCTCGTGGGATGTTTCATGAGGTGTCGCCCAGTTGGGTATCGTGAAAACGTGACCATGCTGCACATGTCTATATCCCTTTCTGGGTTCGTGGGTCCATCATTTTACCCCTGATCCTTCTCTTACGGCCTCAGAAGGCCGAACAAACATAAAAACCTGCACGAACCCAGAACCTTGAACCTGCGCGCCCTTCCTGCTGGCCGGGGCCAGTGCTGGGCCACCCCAGACTCCCAGACGGCTCCAAGTATCACCCCTCCTTGTGTGAAGCCCTGTGTGTCGTCGTCCTGCCGTCTGCGCCCTTTCAAGGCATTTCCTTGGGCGTCGCCTCGCGTCGGTCCTTGGGCGTAGAAGAAAGAGTTTCCCCAATCGGCTCTCACACGGGACAGCTTGTCCTTTTAAACTACACGTGGCAAACGGGTGGGGTACGTTTTTTTTCTGGACGAGCCTCGTGTATATTCCATTAGCGCGTCAAACAACGAGTGCCACACCCATGGCGACTACTCTCTGGAAGCTAACATAATCGCCCTTGCGATCTGCCATGGTAGCTGGACGACCCTCCTGTACTGGGGTGTCATAGGGAAACCAGCCGCACCGCAGTTGTCGAGATTTCCTTGAACCATGCACGAGCAATGCTGCAAACTGACACCATTACACGCAGAAGCACCCTTGCACTCCGCTGTATGGGGCCAGGTGAGCATCCTGGACTTGCACGCCCAAAGTAGGTTTTTAACACCTCCCAGATTGCGGTGGGCTTCTGGCCATGTATCGGGTCGGGCGAACGGGGGGGACAGCAACTGGGGGGTTTGAGAATCAGCTCACGTAGCTGATTTTCCCGGCGCCTCCCGGCGCCAGAGGCGCACATGTATCGAGGAATGGGCCCCTCGGTGGGGCCGAAACCAGCTGCATGCAGCAAATTTCGTAACCCCCCCTTTCCCAATCTCCCCCCTTTCGCCTGGCCCGAATGTAAGCGGCAAAGACGGCCTGGCGCTCCGCCGTGCTCGCACGGCGAGCCCCCTGTACAGACAGGCCCCAATGATAACCAACAACGCGTGTGTATGCACGCCCCAAGTGGGCGCCACGTTTCTCCGCAGGCAGCTGAAGCGCCCTTGCGCTCCGCCGCGTTCGCGGGACGAGCCTCCTGTACAGACAAGCCCCATGAACCGCGTGCCCCCCGAATCCAGACTACGCTCACCCCTGCAACCTCTGAGCTCCGGCCTGCTCGTCAAGACGGTGTGCGTTGCTCGCCACGCGCGCGCCCGCACGGGGCGGCCGCACCGTCGACGATGGCGCCGCACATCTGCGCGCAGCTGACCGTGGCAAGCTCCTCCTGATGCTGCTGCTGCTGCTGCTGCTGCTCGTCCTGCTAGCCGATCCCGTTCCGCCTCCCGGGTCGGAAGGGGGCTCGTGAAGAACAAAAGGAAGGTCAGCCGCAACGCAGGCACGCCTGTAAGCTCCGCGCACCCCCGCCGAATGCTCACCTGGCCCAGCCGACCTCGACGCAGCCGGAGGCGGCAACGCGACGGGTGGAGCGAACCTGGATGCTTCGGTGGCAACTCATGGGAGCGTCCATGCCATCCTGCTGGCTCTTGCGGCTCGACGCTGATCGACGCCAGTCGACGCGAAAATCGGCGCTGCCTTGTCGATTGGCGCACGCGAGCGCACCCTGAAGATGAAACTGCGGGGACCTACGAAGCTCCCGCGACTTGCTGCCGAAAGATGCTCTGCCTGGAGGCCGGCGGCGCAGGCTGGCCGGCGCCCGGCGGAGACTGCCGGCTCGGCCTCGGCAGGGCCGCCGCCGCATGCCGCGCCAGCCGAGCGGACGGCGGCAGCGTTCGGTGCGGCCTCCTCGCCGCCGAGCGCGCCGTCGGCTCTGGGTCGGGCACGTGCACGAACGTGTTCACGACCGTGTAGGCGCGCCCCGGCGCGAGGCAGCAGCTGTGGTCGCTGGCCGAGTCGGAGAGGTCGGCGGTGCTGCCTGCAGGGGCACAAGACAGACAAACGAGCACAGGCATGCACTTTCGAAGGCCCGCGCGGAGTTACTGCACCGGCGATGGACCCCCTGGCGACGCCTCCTGCGCTGCCCCTGGCGCGCTCCTCGCGCCAGAGAGGGGGGGGGGCAACGCCGATCCGAGAAATCCGCGTGGCCCTCCGAACATTTTGGATCTCCGAACATTTTGGGTTATGCCGTTCTTTCTTTTGGAGTCCCGAAACGGTGCAGTGACGGACCGTGCGGTGACCTCGAGCCTCGAAATCCCCAAAGACCTCATCGCACGGTCCGTCAACGCACCGTGTTGGGACCTCGGATGCCCCAGATGCCCGAGACGTCCTCGGAGAACGACCCGAGTCCCAAAACCGTGCGGTGACCCCGAACCCCCACCGACTCACCACACGGTGTGGTCACCACTGCACCACCCTGTTTGGGGCCCCCCGATTTCTCCCTCGCTACCTGGCGCACAGTCGCCGGTGCTACAGTCGATGGTGCTGCTGGCGCTGTCGCTTCTCTGCCAGGCTGGCGGCGGCTGTGCGGACGCGGCCTCGGCCCGCGGCGCAGCTCTGCGCGGCGGGCACTCCGGAGGAGCACGGGCCGCCTCGGCCACGGCAGGTGCTCCTGCAGCCCTCTCCACCACGACACGGTGCCCGACGTCCAGCTTTCGCAGCACGCAGATGTCGTGAAGGCGGGGGTCCTGCAACAGGCCCTGGAGCCTCTCGTGACCGAGCGCCGTCTCGGACAAGACGAGGCCGAACTCCGACCGGAAGAGGCGCTTGACGTTGGGCAGCTGCACTTCCTTGCCCCTCTGCTCGGCCCGGGCCAGGAGCTTCCACAAGCACGCTCGGACGACCTCCCACCTTCCGGGTATTGCCAGAGCTGTCCCTGGCCCAGCGCGTCCCCGGGACTTCCGGGGAAGGCCCGGGTGGCCCCAGGAGCACCGAGGTGGCGCAGGGGCCCAGGGGGCCCGGGGGCTCTGACGTGGCGCAGAACAGCGGTGGGCATCGTGGGCCAGGACCATTTGGAGGATGAGGAGGAGGAGGAGGAGGAGGAGGAGGAGGAGGAGGAGGAGGAGGAGGAGGAGGGAGGAGAAGAAGGGAGGAGGAGGAGGAGAAGGAGGAGGAGGAGGAGGAGAAGGAGGAGGAGGAGAAGGGAGGAGGAGGAGGAGGAGGAGGAGGAGGACGAGGAGGAGGAGGAGGAGGAGGAGGAGGAGGAGGAGGAGAGGGAGGAGGAGGAAGAGGAGGAGGACCAGCTGCACCCGAGCCTGGCAACGCCCAGCGGCGGCGCGCCGGGCCCGCGGGGCACGGGCAGGGCGCTCGCGGCACACAGCACCTTGATCCCTGCCTCCGACCTGTGATGGCCAGAGGGAAGAAAAAGCGGCGTGGGAGAGGACAGCACAGCCCCCCCCCCAGCCCCAGCTCGCAATCGCTCGGACGTCCATTTCCTCTGTTTTTTTCTCAGTTTCGTGCGCGTTTTTTTCGCCAAATGATTCAGGATGCTCCTCGATGGTCCTCGCCGAAGGAAAAATGCACACGTCCGAGCGATGCCAAGCCAGCCAGGACCCCCACTCCGACCTGGTGATCCAGAGGCTTCCGGCTGGAGGGGCGGGGGTGGGGCTGAGTGGTGCTGTGGGGGCCGGAAGACCACCCTCACCCCGAGCCAGGACCCTCTGGATCACCACGTCGGGAGTGGGGCTCCTGGCTGGGGGGTGGGGTGGACTGTGCTGCCCTCAGTACACATGAACTTTCTGGGCTCCGCGGGGCTCTCTTGGGCCGCCAGGGGGGGCCCTACAGCTCCCGAGAGTTCATGTCTGTGCCACTTGTTCTTCCTCGAGATAGGGCACGGCCCGGCCCGCGGCGCTCCAGCCGAGGATCCTCCGGGGAAACCAGCAGATCGCGGCACTGCTGCTCCCGAGGCCTCTCCCCAGGGCGCCTTGTGACCACACTCTCAAAGCGAATGGCGCCGTGGCGACGAGGGCCTCCCAAGAGGCCCGCAAAGGCGAGACCGAGGGAGGGATAGAGCCCGTTGCTTCCCATTCGCGATGATTCCCGTGACCGGCCCCGCCCTACCCTGCCTCCCACCCCCGCGGTCATGTCACGATTCGCGCTGGCGCCGTGTGAGATCAGCCAGTCCTCAGGATTTCTAGACGGCGCCAGCGCGAATCGTAACGTGACTGGCCCCCCTCCCCCTTCCCCTCCCAGTCGCGGCCGTCACCGCCAGGGGATAAAGAAACGTGCTCATGCCCAAACATCTGGCGTCTCGGAGACACGGGCCCCCGATCGCTCCACCACGTCCCTGGGAAAAACATGTCATGCCAGATCGTTCCTTGACGGTCCCGAGGCCCCGTAAGGGCCCCGCGAATCCGAACAACTGTGCAACACCTCCTTCTCTCGATTGTTTTTCCCGGAAGGGGCGTAGGCCCAGGGTTCTCTTTTAGCATGGTAATCTGTCCCCGGTGCCTCAACTGAGGTGGGCCGGCGGATTCCTTCCCTGATAAGTATCGAGGTCGAGGTGGGCCGGCGGATTAACATTTGAGGATGTCTCACGCGAAACGCTTGTTTCTGAAATCCCGATCGATAAATCACAGGGTGCGGGCCACTCTTTCGTGTGTTGAGGATGTCTCCAGCGAAACGCTTGCTTCGCAGAGTTACCGAGGATGTCTCGAGCGAACCGCTTGTTTTTATAGAACTTGAAGGATCTGGGCGCCCCGGAGATTTGCCTTCCCCAGGTGCACGAACCCGTGTGTTTTTACGTATGTGCCTGTAGATTTGCCCTCTCCAGGTGCACGACCACACTCCAGCATTACCCCACCCCAGCACGACCCCACCACAGCAAGACCATCACCCAGCACGACCACACCCCAGCACGACCACCCCCCAGCACGACCACACCCCAGCACGACCACTCCCCAGCACGACCACACCGCCTTGGTTGAGTGGTTGCCTGTCGTCGTGGAATGTTTCGTGGGGTGTCTCGTGGACTGTTTCGCGGGGTGTCTCGTGGAATGTTTCAAGAACAAACGTTGAAAACGGTCGCCCGTGTCTCGTGGAATGTTTCGCGGGGTGTCTCGTGGAAATGCCCGTCGCCCAATACGGTGTCGTGCAAACGCTTCCTTGCATGCGGTTCTATATCCCTTTCCGGGTTCATGGGTCCATCATGTTTCGAGACGGCCGATGTCTGGGCAAAACTCACAACATCAATCCCTTCTCCTCCTAGGATCCTCCGGCTGCCCATTGCCAGCGCCACCACGTGGTTCAGCTCGCCCAGCGTCAGCCCCCGCACGCACGGCAGGCCGAGCTCCGCCAGCGCCCGCGCGCACGCGTAGCGGCTGCCGGGCCGGGCCTCGCTCAGGCCCGCGCCGTCCGTTGCAAAGTGCGCCGCCAGGCCGTCCCACATCTCCTCAGAAACTTGCGCGGCAACGAGCAAAGACAGCAACACTGACAATGATGAGCATAGATTGACGAGTCGACAACTCTCTCTGTATATACATATATACATATGAATATACATATATATGTATACACATACATACACACATACATACATACATACATACATACATACATACATACATACATACATATATACATATATATACATACATATATACCGCTTCACTGCTAATCACGACGAGCCAAGTATACATGCCACTCCATTACAAACACCTTGCCCCGAGCTGTGGCCGCAGTGCATGTTGCGGCGACCTCCCAAACCGCCTCGGACGTTTGGCCCGGGGCCGGATATTACGTATCGGCCCAGGGAAAGAGCAATTCAGACCTGCTCGTGTCGTGAAAAAGTCACGGCGGAAGGTTCTTCGTAATTTTCGGCCTCCGGGGGCCCCCGCTGGGCACAGGGGAAAAGGTCGGGATTATGCAGTGGCCCCGCAGTGAAAAAAAAAACCATACGTGTCTGGGAACACCCAAGTCATCCAACATCTCTCTCAACGAAGATACGATCAACTATTCAAGGGTCAAGCCATTTTGCCCGCGAGACGGCGGCCGCTTAGGGCACGGAGGGATGGAACATAGCAGACGTTCGCGTCATTCCCTCACAAACCATGCGCCGTCCGGCGCGCGGGCAAGAACTCAAACCCAAACAATCACCAACAGAATTTGGCCATTCTGCGCCGGCTGACCAAGGAAGACTAGAGGTGTAAAGGGCGTTCGTCTACAGCGCAAGAAGCAATCGGGTATGTGTTGAGCACCCGTATAACACGGGCACGATCGGTTAACCTATCGCGCCCCCGAGCAAAACAGCAGCTATGTGAAAGAACGGTTAGGAAAGGCACATGGCGAGACAAGTCGATTATATACCTTTCGAGTCTGGTGCGCAAGCCAGTCTGCAAGCGCCTCGCCAGCTCAGGCGCGCAAGCCGCACCGAAACCAGCAACGCAAATATACAAACTACGCTGAGAGGCTGGCACGGAGAACCCTCTTCTGACTGGGCCCCGAATAAAAAGTTGCGAGGCGACTGGATATTCGATTGGAGCAAGCAGTCGTTCACTTGCATGCTCCATTGTCCGAGACCAGCCGCCTGGCGAACATAGTTCGCGGTGGCAGCCCTCTCACTTGTATGCCCCATTCTTCATATCACTCTCGCTTGCGTTGTCGCATTCGCGAACGTCGTTCGAGATGTGCACGTCGGTCGCTGCATTCGCGAACGTAGTCCTTGACGTGCGACGTCGAGTGGGTTGCCCAGTCGCGTCGTCGTTGTCCCTGTTGAGGTTGCTGTGTCGGGAGCTCGGCGCCGTTTTATCGTGCCGCTCCTCGCTCGACATCACTGCCGGGCGTCCGTGGGCGCATTCCTCCCCCACGATGTCTAGGACGAGCTCCCGGCCGACACTTCTCTTCGGCATGGGGGATCGGCCCTCATGTCACGGGCGTCGCGACAAAGCATGTCGGACGCCTGTTTGGCGCGTAGCTGGTCTGCTAGCCACCGTGGGCGGCCTGCCATGCTGTTCGCCGACGGCGACCGCGCGCGGTCCACGGCCCAGGCGGAGATGACGGACGCGCCGTCTGCGACCAGCTCGGCCGGCACAGCGTGGCCGCCCTCCTCCCTCGATGTCCTTATCTCGTCTGCTGAAGCGGGTCCGCGCGCCGTCTCGCGGCCGTCTGCTGCTCCACGTGCTGCGAGCAGCTCAGAGCCGAATGGTGATCGACGCGCGAGCTCGTGCGATCGGCTCACAGAGTCGAGCAAGTGGCAGAATCTGTTCAGGTCTGCACTTGCCCAGATGCGTGTATGCGGCGCCACGCATGCCACATCCTGTCTCCTCCGCGCGCTAGAACGAGCCGTCGCTGCGCGCGCGCGAATCTGGCCCGCTCGCTCGCTCCTTGGGAACGCGGCGTGCGCCTTGACCTTCTGCGTGACCAGATCGGCCAAGTTGAGCTGCGTCGCGCGCCTGGCGACCAGCTTGTTCTCGGCCCCGTTGCAGCGTGACGATGCGGATGGCAGCGCTGCTCTGCGCGGGCAACGCTTAACGATGCAACTGTTCCGAGATGGGAGACAAAAAAATCCAGGAAGGGACCTCCGGCCGGCTCGTCGGCCTTCGACGCGACTAAGCCGATGCGCATGACGGGGATCAGCGCGTCGACGTACTCGTCCTTGTCGAGCGTCGCTGCGCCGTCGGCACTGCGGGTTTGGTGGTCGCCGTAATCAACCTTCGTCTTTCCGAAGGCGCTTGCGACGTGGACAATGAGTCGGTCGACGCGCTCGCTGCGATTTGCGATTTGGAGATCCCCCTCGCGCGTGGACATCGCGAGCGCGAGCTCTGAGCCGCGGGCGCCGCGGGAGCCGGGCGCCTCGCGTTTGACCTCAAGCTCAGGGCCCCATCGCGACGTCTTGACATTGCGCTCGGGCGAGCGCGCGACCCCGGCGAGCTTCGCGAAGAAAGTCCCGGGCGCGCCCATGCAGCCCGCGCCCGGCCGGGCGCGGCGCAGGCGCTCGGTCCGCTCGCGGAGAGGCTCGCAGGCTGGAACCCGCCGCAGGATGGCAGCACTCCCAGGCGGCATGGTGAAGATTTCATCACGGGGCGCTTCGTCCTGCTCTTGCATCTCGACATGGGTCACGCCTTGCGCGGAAGCCCCCTCGGCGCCCGCGGCGACGCGCGCCCTGTTTGGGCGGCGAGCCGTTTCTAAGCACAGAGCGCGCTGGGGCCGCGCTGGCGAACGTCTCCGGGGCTCCGGCGCCCGCGTCGCTAGCACCTCAGCGCCGCGCGGCGCGGGGTGATCCTGGCCGCCTCGCCGCTGGGCCCCCTGCGGCGCCTCCATTGGATCGCGCGCCTGGAGCCCGCGGCGTTCGAGAGCCCTTGAGTGGTCGTCGCTCGAAGCGCTTGCATATGGCCCAGGTCGTGAGCTCCTCGAGGATGGCGGCGGCCGCCTTCCTAGACAGCCTCGACGCCTCCCCTTTAGATAGGAGATCGGCGTCTCGCTTGATTACCGCGGTGTTGACGGCGGCGTGTGCCTTCAGCGCGGCCGTGGTGGATGCGCTGGCAACGTAGTTGCCCTCGCAGCAACTCAAGAATGCCTCTCGCGCTCGGGGGCCCAGGTGCAATCCGCGCGCTACCCCCGCTGATCACCCTCCTCGTCTAGCTTGGCTTAGTCGTCCAGAGAGGCGCCTCGCAGGTAATCATAACGCTGCGCGTGGATGTGCTGGCGCTGCTGCGCCTCCAAGTGCTGGGGCCGTTCGCGTGGCCGGAGGCCTGCGCTGGCGGCCGCGCGCTCCACGGCGGCGTAGACCATCCACTGGCTGTCGGCTGTCGCGCGGGCCGGCAGCGCGGTTCCGGGACCCGCTGCAGCGCGATCTGCACCAATGAAGCGAAACCCGGCGATGACGCCAGCTGGGTCGCGTCGCGCTGGGCAGCGCGACAAATTCGCGTCGGTGTTCTGCATGGGCTGTATAGGCGACGTGCCAAGTGCAAGGTGTCGCGGCACTGTGCGCGCACAACTGGAATGCAATTTCCGGTGACCTCGTTGCAGCTGGGACATTCCCTGTCGTCGCCGTTGAAGACCGCGGCGCGGGGTGCAGCTGGTGCGGTGGCGGGCGAAGGAGGTGGATTAGTGGGGGCTCTGTCCAACTCTGTGCGGCTGGTCGTCGCTGCTCGTCCTGTTGTCGCAAGAGCGTAAGTGCAAGCTGGATGATGGAGCTCTTCGAGGTGTCGTCGTTGCGCGCGGCTGAGTGTGGAGCCCGCTCCGCGGTGGGCTCGAACGCCGCTGGACGTCCAGGGGTCGCGGCCAGCAAGCCACGTGGCCACTCTCCCAGATGGCTCGCTCACGTCAATGAGAGCGCGATGGTTGAAGAGAGCCAGATCGTCGGGGGACTCGGGCATCGGTGGCGACGCGACTACTGGCGCGAATTGCGGTGGCCACATGGGGCGTCTTATTAGGCGCGCTGCTGCCGAGTGCTGCGACTGACGGCATGTAGGGCCAGATCGGCAACTGCACATCGGCAAGTGGGGCAGCTGGCACCGCGACTCGGGCAATGATGTCGCTTGCCCAGTCGCGCACTTGCCGTGGCCCTAGCGGGAAAGCGCCGGCCATTCCAGCCCAGCGCTGCGGTGTCAGTTCTGCTGGAGCTGCTGATGCTGCTGGAGCTGCGGGTGCTGCGTGTGCTGCGCCCCCCGCTCCTGCCGTGCGGACTGGCAAAGTTGCCCATATCTGCCATTTGACCAGAGCCCTGATGTACGCGGCGCAATACATCGCCCATTTCCCGGCGTAGTCGCCGAAGTTCGGGCGCATGAGGGTTGGGCGAAGCCGATGAGGGCGATGAAGTACCCGCCCAACTAGACCAATAGCTCCGGCCAACTGTCTGCCTGGAGCCGTCGGACGCAGCACTGGGAGCTGCTGCTGTTGATGCTGGTGCTTGTGCTCGACGCGCAGCTGCCGAAGCTGGAGTCGGCTGGCCTTCGCTCAGGGGATCGGCGCTCTGCGTGGGCTACCGTTATCGGGCCCCAGAACCATGGGTTCGGGCATCCTGCGGGTTTCCTGGGTCGTCCAGACCGAATGGGCATCCGGTGCTGTTGTTGAGCGGCTGGTCCAGGTTCTCCATGGTGTCCCGGATGCGCGAGCGGTGGGGGCGCTCGCGAAGGCGGTGGTGGCGCTGCCGAGGCTGGGGGGTCGAGGAAGAGAGCGCGCCTTTGCTGGCGCCGACGGGGGCAGTCGTGCGCGAGGCGCTCCTCCGAGTCGCGCTGGCGGCACTTGCGACGCGCCCCGTCAGGGCCCCGTGGGTCGTCTTGCTTGCCAAATCCCCGACCGCCGGTCCGATGCCTGCCCCGTCCCTTGCCCCGTGCCCCCCGCCGATTCCGGCGCAGGCTTCGCGGGGGCCGTTGTCGGGCGAGTTGGCCGGGGCGGCGCGGCAGCCGCGCCCGCGGCCCCTGCGCTCGCGTTTCGTAGCCCCCCTCGCGCGATGCGTGTGCTTGTTATTGTTGTTGTTATTGCTGTTGTTGTTGTTGCTGTTGTTGTTGTTCATGTTGTTGTTGTCGAAGCGGCGCCGTCGGGGCTCGGCGCGCTCGCGAGCCCGATGGAGATGCGCGAGGCGCTGCTCCGCGCGAGCTTCGCGCAGGTCGGGGTCGTCGGCAGCGGCGTCTTCGCCGAATCGGCGGACGGCGTAGGGGGCGGTGCCAGAGTCGAACCCAGCTGCGCCCGCGGTGCCGCTGATGCGTCGGCGTCGGCGATTAACGACGATGATGGTGGACTCGGTGCTGCTCCAAGGGCTGACGGGCCCCATGCCGTCCCAGCTCGATCCAGCCCCAATGCCGCGGGGGCCCCCCGCCCGATCGCGCGCGGGCGCGTCGGCGTGATGCGCCGGCCCATATTGCGCGCCAGCTGCGGCGCGTCCGTCGGAGAGGCCACGTCGCAACGCTGCAGGGTCACGGCGAGGGCGATGTTCGACGCGCCCACCGCGCGCAGCAAGACGTCGCTGAGGCTTCCGTGGCCGATCGCGAATTGACTGGGCTGCTGCGCCCTGTTGCAGAGGATGTCCAACCCTGCGCGGAAGGTCGTCGATGCGCCCCTGCGGCAATCGGTTGAAGTCCATCTGGGCCCATGCCACAGGCGCGCGAAACACCACTCCTAGCTGGCCCCGCCGTTCGGCCAAGCCTTGCATAAGGTAGGTCGCGCGCGGCGCTGGGTCGCCGTCGATGCGACCGCCCTGGGCGGGGGCAGCCAGAGGCCGCTCGCCCGCGCGCTCGCGAGCCATGCTGATCAAGCGAGACGAGACGTAGGCAGCTTGGGAAACGCGTTGAGGTTCTCCCGCGCTCAGCGCTGAAAGGGCGCGCTCGCCTGCTGCTCGGGCCCGCAGGTGCCGAGCTGTCGCATGTTGCCGCTGCGTCCACGCAGGCGATGCAGATGGTGGCAGCGACCGCGCCCGCTCCGATGGCCTTCCACCCAGAGTGGAGCCCCCAGGTGTCGAAGAGGCGTGGCGGCCCTGGTGGCCGCCAGCGGCGATGTTCTGGCAGTCCGCCCCTGGCATGCTCCTCCTCGCCAGCGCCTTTGGCATTGTCTACTGTCGTTTGATTGGGGTGCTGGCTGCACTAAGAACTCCCCACCACGCAATGGCGAAAGAACTCGCGTTGAGTCGTGTTGTCACTCTACTGAGCACTGCCAATGGCGCCATAGTCAAGAAGCGCATGCATAGTCATCCAGGTCCGCCAGGAAACAGCGCAGGTACCGTTGAAGAACATGCCCCGGAGAACCGACAACGATTTGCCCCTAGCTTTTGTAACGGCCCCACAGAAGAATGGCAACATGATTGCGCGACCCTCCTGCATTCCCGCCTTTGCCTGTGCGCGCTTCCCTGGGTTTCCACAGCGCAGTTGCGGACACCTTGGGGCGCTTTGCCAGCGCCGACGATGTGAGCGCAGGATGGCACAACTGCTTGACATGGTCAGCGACACCCCCATGCGGATACAATGAGGGCGATGCGTCCGTTGCCTCTTCCCATCGGGCTTCCGCAACGCAAGAGCGACACGCTCGGGGCCCACGGTCGACTGCCGTGAAAACGAAAAAAAAAAAACATCTCGCACACAGGCGGAGGGCACCCGAGGGAAAGAGCAGGCGGGCGGGGTGCGCAGTCCTCCTTGTAGTTGATACCTTGATGGTGGTAGTTGCGCGCGTTCCCTACGGTCAAACTTGGCGGCGGGCCAACATTGGCCCCGCTGGCCGCAGTGATCCGGTAGTAGAGCACGAACGCGATGAAGACTGAAAGAAAAACGCGACGATCTTGACTTGGTAGTCTGTAAAGTAGTTCCGTCACACGGCAGATCGGTGGAACCTTCGCCCTCGAGGCAAGGCAGCGAAATGAAACCATCGATGCCGTGGGAAGAAGCAGGAACCTGCTGCGCTACCAAGTAGGAATGGAGATGTGAGGTGTAAAAGGGGGGTGTGTTACAATGCAAGAAAATGCGGTATGTGTTGAACACGCGTATAACATGGGCACGATCGGCTAACCGATCGTGCCCCCGAGCAAAGCAGCGGCGGTGGAGAAAGACGATCAAGAAAGGCAACGGGCGAGACAAGTCAATTATATACCATTCGAATGGAAGGGGGCGGAGGAAAAGGAGGGAGAGGAATAATACAAGCAGCAACTCTTGCAGGAGCCCAGCGGATCTTGGGAACAACACGAAAAAACAAAACATTGCGACCTACGCGCCGATTTCTTGGATCGGCGCTGGACCCCCCCCTGGTGCGCGGAGCGCGCCAGGGGCGGCGCCGCAGGCGCCGCCAGAGGGGCCCGGCGCAGATCCAAGAAGTCCGCGCGGCCAACCCAACTTTCTCTCAATCCGCCGATCTGATGTTTGTCAGTCCGCGACCCCAAAACTCCCGACCCCTTCCCCGGCCCCACGAGCCCCGATCACGGCCCCCCCGCGGCCCGACATCGAAGCACTGCGCCCAGAACGAATGCTTGAACTAAAAATATGGTCGGAGGCCAGGGGACAAGGGCCTGATTCGGCGTCAGGCCCGCTCCGGCATTTGGCCCGTTACGGCTCGGGCCGGAGACGAAACGGGCCGGTACAACAATGGGCGCACGCCGGAACGATCTGAGGCCGAACGGGGCCGAAGCCGAAACGGACCGAGGGAGCCGAAGCGGACCAGAGCCGAATCAGGCCAAAACCGAAAACGGACCCTTTCGGGGTCTCCTGCGGATACGGGTCGCGCTTGTCCGCTGGGTCCACGAACGCGCGGGGGTCTCCGTCGGCCAGGGTCACGGAATACTCCCGGCCGCCTTCGGGCCAGACGACGAGCCGCAAGCTGCGCTCGCACAGCGCGCGCAGCTCCTTGGGGCAGATGAAGGGCGCGGCGGCCGCGCCGCTCTGTGCAGAGGCGAGCTCGCCGATGCGCCGGATAAGGATGCGGCCGTATGGCCGGAGGAAGAAAACAACCGCATAGACGCAAACTTTCGGAGACCCCCGCAGATTTCTGCTCGTATCGGCGCCGGGCCTCCCTGGCGGCGCTTGCGGCGCCGCCCCCGGCGCGCTCCACGCGCCGACGAGGGGGGTCCAGCGCAGATCCAATGATGAGTCCGTGAGGACCTCCGCCAGTTTATGTTGATTCAGATGTTTCTTCTCCGAATGGCTTCAACCTGTCAGCGTAGAGGCTGCGCGCTGCGGCTTCCACCCGATCCTCGGTCAGCTGCATGGGCGGCCCCTGCTGCCCGAAAGGGCCAAGGCAGTGTTCTGGGCAGGGCAGATCGATGGAGGAACCTGGGCTTCTGAACTTCACGCTTGAGCACGTGGCGGTCTCAGAGCAATTGCGACGACGACGGGCAGTATGACGATTGGCGCCATGTTAATGGTGGTGGCCTAGGTAACGAGGTTGAGGACGATAGCATACAAATTAGCGTCAACCAAAACGCAATGCCCCCCACAGAGCCTCCAAGAGGCCCCCGCATGCCCCCCAGAGGCTGCAAGAAGCTCACAAGACGTCCCCCCTGAGGCCTCCAAGAGAACCCCAAAGGCGCGCATGAGACATCAAGAGACCTCCCATATGCCTCCTCCTTCTCCTCCTGCCGTAAAAAAGGGCAGGCAACAGTGTTCGTGTTCGTTAACAAGGGGGCAATCAACGGGGGGCGAAGAAACGGATACCTTTCGCGCATCCCCGCTTATTGCCCCCCCCCCCACCCACCCCACCCGCCCCTCCTCCCCCCACCCACCCCTCCTTGCCCCCCCCCGCCCATCCCTGCATCCCCCCCCCTCCGCACCCTCATGCACCCCTGTGCCCCCGCCCCCCCTCCTTCCCTGGGCTCCCCCCCCGAATGGGAACATGACCAGAACGATGCCGTTATGCGACTGGTTCGGGAGATGTTCCAAGAGCTCCAGAGTATACCCAAAACGGCTTTCGCTCCTGGGGGCCCTGCGGCGCAACACGACAGGACCTCCTGGACATCCTGGGGACACATCGTGTTCACATATCAAAATGCTCGTTTGAGAAGGGCGACAAACTATAAATTAGCCTGGCGAAGGATCCAACCATATGCAACTGTGGGTACCGCCGTTGTGTACACCGCATTCGGAGGAGCTCCCTATGGGACCACGAGACGTGTGAGGGGTGTGCCAGAATTGGTGCGGTGGCCGCATGCGAGCGCTGGCATCAAGGCCTTCGGTGGAACTCCCAATGGCCACGAAACGTGTGAGGGGTGTGCCAACATTCGGCGCGGTGGCCGCATGCGAGCGCTGGCATCTGGGCCTTCGGTGGAGCTCCCCATGGGACCACGAAGCGTGTGAGCCTGGTGCCAGAATGGGTGCGGCGGCCGCGTGCGAGCGCTGGCATCTGGGCCTTCGGTGGAGCTCCCTGTGGGACCACGAAGCGTGTGAGCCTGGTGCCAGAATTGGGTGCGGTGGCCGCGTGCGAGCGCTGGCATCTGGGCCTTCACCCCCTTTCTTTTCTTTGAAGGGGCCCCAGGACACACAAACAAATACACACACATAAACATATTATCAATAGTTTCCCATATTTTAGGGGTTTCTGTCTTCCCCCCACTTCCCAATTTTCATACATTTTCCGGGGAATCGAGGATCAATTGTGTCTGTGTGTTTTTCCCCTCCTGATCTTCTTTTCCCCCCAGCAGCGCAGCGATTGCTGTGCACCGTCTCGACTCTGGCGGCGGCGGCCGGGGCGGACCACGCCTGCCCCCGAGGCCACCTAAACAAAAAACCTGCCCGGGCCAATCAACGCGCGGGCAAGCGCTCGAGGAGGAGGGCAAGTACGACAAGGAGTGGAGGTTCCAACATCTGGGGGCCAAAAGGTGCGGAGCGCTCCAACGCGGCATCCGTGAAGCAACGGAGCGTAAACGCGCAGCCAGGAGATCAAAATGCAGGTGGCGACGGCAGGAGGAGATCCCACCAGGCGAGGCACGGAAGATCACCAGGCGACTACAGTCAAAATGATAGCACGAGGAGGCACGCAAGGATCTAATACCGAGCGGAGCCCGAGCATCCCCAGGCAACCGCCGTCATCAAACCGTGAAGCCGTGGCGAAACCTTACAGCCCGAAGAAGTTGACCTCTGGCCTCTGCTGCGCGGCGGCCTCCTTCTTCTTCGCCAGGTTCAGCACCTTCGCGGAGTCCGCGGAGGTGCCCGCGGTCGGAGCTCTCCTGGCCCAGGACAGGTTCTGGCCCCTCCGCGCGGCCTGCGGCCGGACGCCCGGGGGCCCGCGGTGCGCCAGCATCAGGTGCCGCTCCGCCAGCTTGATGTCGCCCTTGGCCTGCACCAGGGCGACCTCCTTCTCCTTCAGGGCCACCAGCTCGTCCAGCTGCTCCTGGATCTCGGCCAGCTTCTCGGCCGCGGCCGCGAACACGCCCCTGCGGCCGTTCTCCCTCATCCACTCGGGCGGCTCCTCCCCGGAATACTCGAGCTCCGCGACCTTGCACGCGGCCCAGCGGTTGGCCCACTTGCTGTCCTCCTCCACCAGGGCGGACATCCACTCCGGGACCTCCTTGTTCTCCGCCCTCAAGCGCTTGGCCTCCTGGACGGCCCACTTCATCTGGCCCTGCCGGGCGTCCTTTGCGACCATGTCCTCCATCCACTGGGGGGCCGTCGTGTTGTTCTCGTGCAGCCCCTTCAGCGACTCTTTCGCCCACATCAGCGTCGCGTGCTGGGCCACCCTCTGCCTCTTCTCCTCCCAGGTCAGGGCCGACTCGCTCTTGCACCACTCTGGGGCGTTCTCGGGCAGGGACCCGAACCTGTTCCAAAACTTGCTCTTGGGGCCAGTGGCCCCCTCCTGCTTGAGGGACGTCGCGCCCGCGATCAGCCCCGCCGAGAGGGCGCACTGCAGCAGCGGAGCCATCCTGGCTCGAGGGGGGGGGGTCCGGCTAGCGGTCGAGGAGAAGCTGCGGTAGCGGATGGAATGTGGCAGAGCGATCTGGCGCCAAAATGGTTTGAGCCACAATGGCTACGGTCGGTGGAGCCCCCTTATGGGGCCACGATGCGTGTGAGGGGTGTGCCCAAATGGGTGCGGTGGCCGCATGCGAGCGCTGGCATCTGGGCCTTCGGTGGAGCTCTCCATGGTGCGACGAAGCGTGTGAGGTGTGCCACTAGGAGCGCGGTGGCCGCGTGCGAGCGCTGGCATCTGGGCCTTCGGTGGAGCTCCATATGATATTGGTCCATATGGGGCCCCGAAACGTGTGAGGGGGCGCTGGCATCTGGGCTTTCGGTGGAGCCTCCTATGGGGCCACGAAACGTGTGAGGGGGTGTGCCGAAATGGGTGCGGTGGCCGCATGCGAGCGCTGGCATCTGGGCCTTCGGTGGGGCTCCCGGCTCCCCTCTGGAGCCACGAAACTGAGGGGTGTGCACAAATGGGTGCGGTGGCCGCATGCGAGCGCTGGCATCTGGGCTTTCGGTGGAGCTCCCCATGGGGCCACGAAACGTGTAAGGGGTGTCCCGAAGTGACGGGGGTGACCGGAGGAGGAAGGAGGAGGGAGGAGTGGGAGGAGGGAGGAGGGGGAGAGGGCAGCGGGAGCTGAGGAACGCGGGGCGCTGTCTCTTCAAAACGAGGACGCAATACCACAGGATGGCTGGGACAAAAAGCAATCTCAGAGATCACAACACGAAATACCATACACTCAGGGAAAGCATCTTTCTGATATAGCAACACGGGAAATATAACAAATCAGAACGTCTTGCTCGAATACGCGTGATTTAGAACATGGAAAAACAGCATCGCCGTAAACTTGTGAAGGTCGGCGCCGATTTCTTGAAGCCGCGCTGGGCCCCCTCCTCGGCGCGAGGAGCGCGCCAGGGGCGGCGCCAGGGGCGTCTCGAAGGGGGGCCCAGCGCCCAACCAAGACATCCGCGCTGAGCTGAAAGTTTGTGTGTTAGGACGTTTTTGGTTCTTCGCAAGGACGTTTTCGGCGTTCAGAAGTTTAGGAAGTTTGGACGCTTGGGACTGTTTTTTTGTGTGTCTGAGTGTGTGTGCGTGTGTGTGTTAGGACGTTGTTGGTTCTTGCGTTTGGGAAGTTTTGGGTTTGGGGCGTTTGGGGTGCCTTTTCCACCAGCGCGGCAATGCCCTCGGGCAGGCTGCGCACAGCCCCCGCGCTCCTCACGCATACGCGCACCCAGACTTGCAGCCCTTCCACGCCCGGAACTGCTCCGGCCTCGCGCCCGCCTCGAGCGCACGCGCGTCGGCCTCGCCGAGCCTGACAGACGCCGCCTGCAAGTTCTCCCGGATGTTCGGCGGCGCGGCCAGGAGCCCAGATCATTGGATACAATTTATTTTGCGGACGCGATCGGTACTCCAGATTTCGTAATAAACGGAGGGGGGTCTCATTTCGGGGGGGGGCTCTTCCAGGCTATCTTGGAGTGCCTGGGGGGGTCTGGGGACGATGTTTGGGAGGGATCTCCCACGAGGGGGGGTCTGAAATGGCTTGTCTTGGAGGGTCCAGACCCCCTCCGTTTTATTACGAAATCTGGAGTACAGCTTATTTTTCGGACGCGATCGGTAGCGACCGATCGGCGCCAAGAAACCAGTCGCGACCGATTCCAAAATCGGTCGCGACGGATCCCGGAATGTGATGCAAAATCGGCAGCGACCGATCCCGTCGGCCGCGACTGAAAAATTCCCAAAACTAGTGATCTGGGAGGGAAGAGCGAGGAGGGCACGCCCATCCTCAGGAGGCGACGGGGCTTCTCAGGAGCCCTCAGGCCCTCTGAGAGGAGCCCTGTCTGGCTTCGGAGCAGGTGCAGAAAGGCCCTCAGCAGGCCGAGGGCCTCCTGAGTCTGCCGAGGAGGCCCGCTCCCTCTGCTCGCCCCTGGGCGCGCTGCCGAGATGTGGCCCACGTTGTTGGAGCCGGGTATGACGGCCACGCCCCGGTCGAGGGCCCACCGAAGAAGCACCTGGGCCCTCGTGCAGCCGCGCTCGCGGGCGATCGCCTCGACCGCCTCTCCTGCCGCCTTGTTCCCCGAGCCCCCGAGCGAGCCGAACGCCGTCACGGCTATGCCCTGGCCTCGCTCGATTGCAGCTCACGGGAGCCCCCCCCCCCCACACGCCATCGTGCTCGGCTCTTGCGAACTGATTCTGGCCTCTTCGTGAGCGCGAGCCGATGCTAAATCGGCGCTTCCTCCTCGGCTACCAGACGCTAGCGCACGCCATAGTGCACTCTGAGGACGGCGCTGCGAGGACACACATCGGCTGCACGTAAGAGTGACCCTGGGCAAGAGTGACCTTTGGTGCGCGGCTTTTTGGGGGGCGCGAGGAGGCCAAACACAAGGCGCAAGACGCTACTATCGCACAGAGCGTGGCGATCGGGGGACCCCACTGAGCGCGCACTAAAGGTCACTCCGGCGAAGGGTCACTCTTACGTGTAGTCGAACACAGGGCTCCCGTGATTTGCTACTGAAGCCTCGGCACCACTCCACGAGCTCTTTCGTCTCCTGCGGCACCCACGGGTGGAACTCGATCTGGTTCACCGCCGGCCGGACCCCGGTGGCGGCCACGAGCCTCTCGATCTCCGCCTGGTTGTGGTTCGAGACGCCGATGTTGCGGGCCTTCCCGGCACGCTGGGCGTCCACGAGGCCCCTCCAATAGTCCACGTCCTGCTCCGACTGCACGCCCCAGCCCTCGCCGCCGTGCAGCAGCATGAGGTCCAGGTAGTCGAGCTCCAACTCCTGGAGACTCTGATCGACGGCCTCCACGACTTTCCGCCTGGACGTGACCGGGCAGCCCTTGCAAACCAGCACCTTTGAGGTCACCCACAGGTCTTCCCTCGGCACCCCCGACTCGCGGATGGCGACGGCGAGGTCCCTGTGATTCCCGTACAGCTGCGCGGTGTCTATCAGCCGCCCCCCCTCTGCCAGGTATGCCTTCGCCGCCTGGATGATGGGCTCGCCTTTGACCTTCTGGGGGGGAACCGAAAAAAGCACCGATACCAATGCTCCCCGGACCTCTCCCAGGGTGCGCTCCGAGCCGAATCTCGAGGCGAATCCAGCAGGGGCGACGAGGGCCAGGGCCACCCAGAAGGCCCAACAGGGGGACATCGAGGGAAGGGTACAGCGGCATGGTTACCTTTTCTTGAGGGACGAAAAAACGACCCTACCCTGGGTTATCAGTGCGTGGTCTGTAAACCTCCTGGGAACCCCCAAAGCCTAGAGCCGCCAGGACGCGGCACATCACGCAGGGTGTACCCTGTCAGCCCACAGGAGTTTCAGCGCACAGCGCCTCGTAAGGTTCCAAGGTTAGGCCGGCGCTCAAGCACCGTGCAGGTGCGCAGAGATCTCGCTTTGTTTCCACACGCTTCGTATATGTGCTGGTCTGTGTAATCATCCTCTCATTCTTTACGTTCTACCTCTTTCAGAATCCAGCTCATTCCTTTGACCACCAAGGGGCGTTTTTTCTGCCCTTGAGATTTTCCTCTTCCGACATTCTTCCTGCAGCACGTGCCGAAGCCGATGGCAGGCATGGCCTTCGCGGAGCCGGCCACGTCGAGGGCCAGCGGGCGCGCCGCCGCCGCCGGGGCCTCCGGCGCCGCGGCCCAGGCTTCGGCACGCTCGGGGGCCCAGAGCCTGGCACGCGCACCGCGCACACATATGGCCGATTCCAGGAGCCCTGGCCCCCCAAAAACGTTGGTCATCTCTGGGGGGCACATCTTTTGCTTCCTTTTACCAGCGCAACACCCTAGAAAAGTCGATCGGATGTCTAGCGTCGGGCCCGTCAAAAAACCAACCGTAAACACGGCGCAACCTCGAGAAAGCTCAGAGCACCGAGGCAGAGGGCCAGAGGAGATCTTTTGCTTCCGCCGCCTTCCGCCAGCTTCTCCTGGCGGAGGCGGCCTCCTTCCTTGCATCTCCGCCGGCTCACGCCGCCGTCCGCCGAGGAAGAGGGCAGCTTCTTCGATCCTCGAAGGCAGGGCCCTTTCTGGAATGCCTCGCATGTGGGGGGGCGCCTCCCCCAGGGGAAGACGACCCTCGACCTCGGTGCTGGTGACAATCGTCGGGCCACCGGAAAGCCCGAGGGCCACCACCAGCACCGAGACTGGGGCCATCTTTCCCTCTGTGGATGCTGCAACCAATGTCGGTGGGTCGGTCCCAAGCGTCCGATGCCAGGACCTTTTTGTGGCGTGGGCCCCCAGACCTCTCGATCTCTTCCCGGGGACAAGCTTACCGCTCTGGACGGTCTGTTGATGGCCCTGTCTGGGCAGCACCTGCAATGAAGCGACTAAGGCCGTCCGTAAGCTAAACGATCGACGTTCCTCCATACCCTGCTCTTGCCCCAGCACCACGAGGGACCGGAGTAAATCCAGCCTCTGGGAGCCAAGCTCTTCAACTATGCCGTACCCCGCGGGCGCCCAAGACGAATGGGAGCAATAGGCGCGGACTTGCTCAGGGGGTAAGATTTACCTGGAAACGGCCATACATCGCCGATCAGCCCTCGACTGTAAAACCGCAAGGGTGGGCTATCAGGCCTCTGTCGGCGATGAGTGGGCGCTTGGGGTCGATGAGTTCCCCTGACAGAAGCTCGAAGCAACAACACCTGGCGTGGCATACAGCCCAGACCCTCGACGTCGTGATCTTTGTCAAAACGTGGGCCCCCGCAGGTCTGGACCCCATCCCCTGGACCAGTTTCAATTACCGTCCTAGGCAGGGTTGTAGCGGCTCCGGCGCCCTGTGAGGGCCCCCACCGCGCGAAAATGGCCAACAAAACTTCCGTCGTGATTTTGTTTAAGATGCGAGGTCTTTGGGGGCGGGGGTTAAGACGGGCTCCTGGACCTGTTGCGGGGAGTGTTGTGACCAGAACATCGGAAGGGGATCTGGCCGTGGCAACGAGACGCCCCCCAGAGGCCCAGCAAGTGCGAA